TTCGCTTTCCGAAGACCCGCTCCCCGACCAGACCCCACAATCTCCTGTAGTATCCAACGGGGTGCAGAGCAAAACATCTGCGGTGGAACGGCGCAGACGACGCTGGTCCTCGACCACTGAGGGTGATCCCATACACATGAAGGATTGGGTCGTGGAACTGCCGCCGCCCGACCAGCTGGGCCGTGGGAACCCCTTCCTTCTCTTCATTTGCGTCTCCATCCTCCTGGAGTATCGGGAACGTATCTTGGCGGAGGTGCATGAGGCCAGTGACCTGTTTCATCTCTTCCAACAAATGACTAGACAGCACAACCAAATTAGTATTGTCAATCGCGCTCGCACCCTGTTCGATGCTTACCTGCGGAATCAGGAAGCTAAGCGACAGAAACTGGCCGAACAGACAGAACTTACTTTCTTGCGTTGATCGAGTTTAAGAAGGTTTGGTATAATTTCTGTGATACCCGCTCGCTTACATAGTTTCTGCTCTTTTGCATAGTGTACATAAACAAATGAGCAGTTTTTGTTCTTTTTGCATTCTAACCTACTTGCTTCTCCCTCATTTGCACACCTGTGCGTTTTTATCTATTTTCCATGTTCTTTAACGTGCAATCAAATGTATCGGTTTCTGCTATGACAACACTTTATAGTTTTTGTGTTTTGGCAGTTGCTTTCGTCGATCTAACGTGATGGTCGGTGTTGAGGCCTCTTTTTCTGTCTATAAACTTCCCATGTCAAAAGACAAAAAGAAAACGCTTTCCGAGAGTCATACCGGTTTTTTTATTTGCTATTTTGAGTATATTCCCGCTGATTTATAGTGCGAATGTTCGCAGGCCGAGCTTTTGCTGTTGCCTTCTACCCCTACATCGGCCTTCCATGTGTAGTTTTCCTTGATGAGGTCCTTAAGCACGTAGTTAACGGCCCTGGTCCAGTATGACACATATTTTGCGTAGGATTTTGGGTGACCGACTTGTCCTTTATTTACTGTGCAGTGTTTTGAAAATCCGACGAAGCATGTCCTTTTCTGTCTTCTCTCTAGCCGGGTTTCGTCATGCAACTCAACCTTGTGTTATAATCATAATTTATCCTCAAATTATCTTATTGTCGCACTCACCACGGAATATGTCTCAGATAACTTGCGTCAGGGCCACTGCTTATCCAAATGCATTGCTTCCTTGATCTCGCAAGATGTCGTGTCCACAAAACTGCGCATTGATTTTGCCTGCGCTCTGGTTAGTTAAATGCACCCCATATGAACACGCGCAGACCCTTAGAAATTAGTGACCGGATGTTGTTTCGAAAAATTCTCAATTTTACACTGCTTCGCTCAGTAGTTTCATATATTATTTGGTAAATTTGACTGTGAGATAAGTTAGGGGAAGCTTTCCATCCAAAACTAAATGGCCTCAATGTTGTCCACCATAATAACTTCCGCCGCCTCAGTTAAAATTCTCGTGTACTCCATGGCGCTACTTTTTCTCCTTGTACCAGCATATGTACGTTCTCTGCGCATAGACTAATCTTTAAACATATTTGTATATGCAGTGGCTTGCTTCAGTGCACTATTACCAAGACCCACGCAATTTATGTAACAAAAATAATTTGCTAGTGGATGTTCTAATGCTATATGAAGAAAATTCAACTCAAATGGCGCGAAATGCAGCTTGCGAACTCATAAAATCGAAACTCATATAACTTCAACGGATATATTGTGCAGGGTATGCCAGTAACCAAGTCTTATTCAGGAAATGAACCCTCATTCAATCAGGACTACAAGAGGCTGTAAACCCGTAGCAGTTATCCGATTTCCTGGATCCAAAAAACTGTGCATAAGCACTACCAACGCCGGCTAGATAAAATTGCTAATTTTTAAAGTAAATTTCTTTAATTATTTAGCGCATAATTAAAGTGGTTACTTCAGTTAAGTACGCCGGTGGTGGTGCCCCGAGGGTGTCGCAAAATGTAACTCCCGCGTAGCGATCTGTGGAGGCGAATCTTGAGGGTCTAGTCCTTTTTTCATAGACGTAGAACGAATACCTCAGGTCAAAGAATTAACGTATCCATCAACCTCAGCTGCGGTTTCTGAAGTCAGTTTGGCTGTAGAAGTTTGGATTGATTTCAGTTGTTTATTCACCCGAGATTTTAGTGAGCTTCTCGGGCCCTATGAGGAGGATGGCACACCGTACGTTTAGACTGCAGCCCACTTAATCAACTCAGTTTTGAATCCTTCCCGATGGTTCAGTAAATTAATGACCTTCATAAAGTACCGACAATTCTAGCAAGAATTGGAACATTGACGTTTCGAGTTTTAACCAGAAACACTATCAAAGAGTACGTCAATTATGGTATTTACTCGAGCATTACGCTTATCTGAAACACTGTGTAATCATGGATTCCAGTTTTCTTCTGAAATTTCAAGCGACCAAGACTTTTACTCCAGTGATTGCGACTTCGCAGTCCGCTGACAAACACTTGATCCAGATTTTCTCTCGTTGCGTAATTACCAGTGACGCAAGCCCCGCGCTGTCACCCCTAGTCTTGCGCCACTGGTAACTGACTGGCTACTACCTCTTATACTTGTTGCCCTTTTGTCGCTGCTACTATTTCTGATGATGAACTTCTACACGAGTTCCAAAGCTTCGAATAAACATACTTCCGGTGCTCGACCCGTCTTCTCCTTTACTCATACATTTTTTTCCTTTGAGCCTTCACAATTACCTATTAGTGCATCTTGGTGCCGCACCCTCTTGGTGTACGCAGGAACCTAACGCCCATTCTCTGTATGTTTTTTTGTTACTCAAGCATTTTGTCATCTTTGAACCGAGAGCTTTTACGAATTCAACCTTTTGACTGGTTGCGGCCACTCATGCCATGAGCGTACTGCTGTCCGTCAGCGATATCCGCTACTCTCGCCTATTTAACTACCCTTCCGCCTTCTAACCCAATAGTATGTGCCCATTTCGAGAACTCCTACCTAAATATATCAGTCCCACCTGCCTTACAAAACCGACCGTTGCTCTCGCGTGATATAATCAATGCTAGAGCTTTGGTCCTGCAGTGGGCGTGCTGATGGGGGTTAACTGAGACATTCTTTCAGGATGTAGCGCTTAGGCGTCTCAAGCCGATTCGACAGCCATTCCGCGTCTTTTTGGCACGTGATCCGTAAGGCGACTAATGGCAGCTGTTTTTTCCAAAAAAATATTGGCGCATTTAACTATGCCACGAGACCCGATTGTGAACGCACCCCTTATGTTAACAAAGTTGAAGACGTTCTGTATACCAGATATTCTCTTTAACTGGCCGCATTCCTTAACTCGTCATGCGACTGGGGACGGTGTCTATTTAGTTTTGAAATTGTGATCAAGGTATCTAAGACATTATAGGACAACCAACGGAACGTTAGGTGATTTAAAGTCTTATCCCAGCGATCATCTTTTATACTGCTCAAGCAATGATGACATTGGTACATCCTCACTACCAGAATATCCAGAATGCAATTGGGTAAGAAATGGGAATAGAAACCACATTCACAAACACAGATGATCTTGCTCGAATTTTCAGGAGAATGTTCCGTATCCTAACACCAATCCAAACCTTAACCCTAAAGTAAACTAGAGTCTTAGCTTTAATCCTCAAGTTAACCCTGAACTTATCGTTAATGGTAACTCTTTGGAAATACGTTCAACAGCCTCAGAATAGAGGATTACTATTCTCATATCTTGACTTAATCGGTACAGTGGCTGCTTAAGCAAAACGGTCCGCTGTGTCGTATGCTATTTGCGGGCATGTTGAAGGCTATATACAGTTCACTGAACGGCTTCCAGGCCCCGAACTTGCGAAAAGGAGCCTGTAATTTCATTGAGTACACAGCCTCTTCAACTGAGGGTCAATAATTAGTCAGGGAAAGGTACGTGTTTAAGTGTTTGAAACCATTTTCAAGCTGCGGCTTCTTGTGGGAGTTACTGTAGTCAAGCACAAATAACAATCAATTCCTTTTCAATAGACCTTTATACTGGCAATTCCGCGAATTATATTAGGTCTAGTAGTATCAAGTTATTTGCCAACTTTCAAGAAACGATTGCTGCCAGTCTTTCAGCAAACTACGCATTAAAACGGCTATTTCGACGAACTTTTCGCTGCAGATGATTAATGGTGAGTGTCATGAGAGAATTCTACGCGATTATGAGGTTCACTCTTAAGTAACATAGAAAACTAAGTGTACTTTGGGGTTTCTTTTGAAGAGCCGGAGCAATGATGTTATCGATAGTTTGCATAGTTGAAAAAGCGGTGTATTGAAACAATGATAGAGTGGAAGACGGCAGGCGAAAACCGTGTGGATGGGAGGGGTGGCGATGGACGCTTTGAATTTCAACATGGTGATTAGCAGGCTGCGCATAGGTGTCAGTCGTAATTCTCGCTTTCTAGCGTCGCTTGTGCTTCCACGTCGTTCCGTGAATAATTTATGAAGTTTCTAGTCTGCCCTGTCCTAAATGAGTCATAAGTCTGTTTTCCCGGCCTTGTAGCGATGCACGCGTAACCATTAAGTCTACTATCAGCATGGTGACCAGCCTATACATGTCACCTCAAAGACGTTTTAAATGGTTGTGCGCAGGTGCAACTCCAAAAAGCGCGAAGTGGTTTTCGAAAGTAGGAAAAAAGGCGCCGATTTCAGTCACGAAAAACCTACTTGGTACTTATCACGCTGTTTATTCAGGTTTTTATATGTTTTCGTCGTAGGTTCTAACAATGTCCGTCATCTATGTTACTCTGGGGCCCTGACAGTGCGGGAAAATCACAATTCATCAGCCCTGCATGGTCATCACTGCAATTCGTACTATAAGTACTCAACAACAGAACTCCCCTCGTCGTTCAGTTTGCCTGTTAGAAAGCTTAATTTAATCACAAAATACTGCCGTGTTATAGTGTTTTCACGTATCCCTTGCATATTTGTAAACTTATGCAAAAGCTTTCGAAGTAAAATGAGAAATAATGGAATGTGAGGCTATTGTTATATCCTGCTTCGTTCATAACCTCCGTATAATTATAATTTCATCTAAGAACAATGTATCAAAAACTTTTCAGAAATTGTTCTTAAGCATATTTTCAAAATACCTCTTCATAATCCCAATGACTGATAATGAAAAAAAGTACTCAAAAAAGCCTCATTAATATTAATTATATTCGGTCAATCATCCTCAGGCCGATACATGACATGGGGGATAAAATGGTCAGATAATTGCAGCGTTT